TTCTCCATGCAAAAATTCGCGGTGTTTGGGCCATAATTGCGGCCTCTGGAGCGACCAGAAAAACCGACAAAAATTCAGTATTTGGTGCATTTCATCCCCTAAATATTAACCGATCTTTCCCAAAAACAATAGGGGTCTTCATTGGCCAGAACCCATCCTACATGCAAAATTTCGTGAAGATTGGTACATAACTGTGGCCTGTATCGTGTTTACAAATTATAATGGACAGACGGACGGACGGACGGACGGACGGACGGACACACATGTCTAGATCGATTCAGCTAGTCGAGATATGACGATCGGTATACTTAAAGGTGGGTCTAGGACCAATATTTCGCGGCGTTACAAACATTTGGGGCTGCACAAAGCTATAATACCCTGACAACATAGTTGTGTAGGGTATAATTATTCACATAAACTTTTATCAACAACACTATTCAAGACCATCTAAAAATAGAATAATACAGCTAAAGTCTCCCGCCTTAACAATAAATCTTTACAGATCTACCATCTGTATAAAATATTTAAGGTCCTTCTATTGCGACGACGAACATTGTTGTGTTCAGTTTTGGTCTCCATACTTTTGTTATCATTCTATCCGAAGTCCATAGTGTTACGGATACAAAGAGTAACGGAGCCTAATGAATTCACTTGTAGGGCATATGTGAATTCATTAGGATCCTTAACTCTTTGGACCACAACGTTGTAACTGGTTAGAATTTCCATTGAGTCCCGTAACTCTTGGGTCCGGAAACGTTTTGGGTCCCCGCCACTTACATTTCTGTGCCAACGTGCACCTTCTTAGGAGGCCGTGCTTAACCTTATGTGGGTCCTGCTATTAAAGCTCTATGCCCGAAGTATTTACCGGTGAGATGACCATAACATTTACATACCCCTACCTAGAGTTCTTTGTCTATCATGCATAATTTGTAAGGACTTCGTTGGCCCTAGATGTCAAGCGTTAAATCGCCCCATCATCTTTCCTAAATCATAAACTTGTAGAAAGGTATCGGGCAAACTACCGTGAATATAGTACCTATTATGGTCTCCATATTACTTTATAGCCAGCGATTGCGACTGACCGGAGTAAATACCAGAGTATCCTAGGCGTGTGGGGAACGGTATTCCAAAACAACGAGACCAATGCAAAATATTCCGACTAAATGCTGAGTTGTGCTGAGTCTCGACAACACGACAAAACTTGTGTTGTATGACAATATAATACCTATATGGGTCTTCTAAGTATATACGACCCTTTAAAGATTTCTTGAAGGGGGTTTCTGTATATAGAATACCTAACCGAGCATATTCTTTCTATTGATCATAATTTCGCAAGGGTCCCCTATATACAAAAAAAATCCTAGCTCAAAAAATCGTTGGAAACTCAAACAAGAATCTACGCACTTCATCCGTTCTTCATCACTTCTATGAAGATTTAACCATATCCACCTGCATGTAGGAATCCCTATGAGAATGGTTTTACATTACCCCTATTTTAGGCCATTTTCAAACCAGTGAGCGGAGCAGTATAGTCGGACGAGGCCGACCATACGATACCCTACACAACTACCACAGAACTCTATATTTCTACGGAATTTTATTCCGAGCCTGGGTAATATTTCGTGATAGTTGCACCCTTGGTCGATTAGAGCACCTCTTCCTTACACTGACATATTTTCGAATATTACCAATATTCAGTACAGCCTTTCTAATTACTTGTCCATATTCCCTTCACCGTGGGTAGTGTTATGATGTTCGGCTTATAATTGTAGCATATAGATCGATTCGAAAAAAACACAAACAAATAAGTTTTCGGACCACTTCATCCCAAAATTATTATCTGATCATCACCGAAAATTATAGGTGTTATCCTTGACCATAACTGGAACCTCATGGAACATTACAAAGCGATCAGCGCTATATTTCCGCCGTCTAATGTGGTAATGGGTTACTAAATAATATCTGAATACGTAATGTAAATGTTTACGTGTAACACCCACATCCGAGTACATACGACAATATAATTATTATAAATTTAAAGGCCAGCCACTCCTCTTGGATATACTATCAACTTCTCGGCTCTATGTCATCCAGGAGTAAATATATACGCTATATAATACAAATTTTGTCATTTTTCACACAAAAGTCAGGGTCCATTTGACCCGCTAAATATTGACCGATCTTTATCAAAACATTCAAGCTTATTCGTTGGCCCAATCCCCTTCTCAATGTAAAAATTCGCGATGTTTGGGCGATAATTGCGGCCTCTGGAGCGACCAGAAAAACCGACAAAAATTAAGTATTTGGTACATTTCATCCGATCTTTACCAAAAAGAATAGGGGTCTTCATTGGGCCGAACCCATCCTACATGCAAAATTTCGTGAAGATTGGTCCATAACTGTGGCCTGTATCGTGTTTACAAATTATAATGGACAGACATACATGTTTAGATCGACTCAGCTAGACGAGATATAACGATCGGTATACTTAAAGGTGGGTCTAGGACCAATATTTCGCGGCGTTACAAACTCTTGGGGCTGCACAAAACTATAATACAACAACAACATAGTTGTGTAGGGTATAAATAGATCTATATAAAGACACAACTTTATTTTAAAGTTCTTAGCAGAATTTACCAAGCCAAAAAAGGGCATCATTTGGTTTTTCGGGTCTAGGAGGCTTATGACAAAATTTCCCTTCTACGTGAACCATCAGTTGGCCCGCCTTTATATGCCTATTAAGCAGGGGTCTCCTCATCCATTCACACAACATGACCTAGCCAAATTATTCGCTGCAGCTCGATACTTCTGACTATATCGATGTCCGAGAATGTCATGGTACATTCGATGGGGATATACACCGTCGACGCAGATCGTCCAATAGATCTTTCGGAGAATTTTTCTCTTAAACACTCCAAAGGCTGACTCATCTGCTTGCGTGTTGATACCATAAGTTTGGTCTTCCGCCATTTACTGCCAGTTACCGCTCCCAATGTCGTCGGAGAGTGATATTTATTGTTCGTTGTATAGAGTGTCATTTATGTTCACATTTGCATCTCGTATGACCTTTTGCAGCAACATGTTAAAAATGTCACACGACAAACTGTCACATTATCTGAATCCTCGCTTGGTATTGACGGGTTCTGAAAGATTCTTTTCTGACTTTAACTGCTAAACTTGTGCGAGTTAAAGTTATCCAGCCTAGCCGTATTAATTGCGCAGGAATGCCAAACGCAGACATGGCTTTAAACATCTCTGATCCTATCGGGCTTCGGAATGCGGCTTTACAGTCGACGAATAAGTGGAATGAGTCGATGTATTTTTCGTGGGTCTTTTCCAGGATTTGGAGCAGTGTGGAAATCTGGGCAATGGTGGATTTGCCAGGCCTGCAGCCGCGTCGGTCTGGTACAACAATGCTGCATGCTCCTTACCAGCAGCTGACCAACGGTCTTGAATATTTCCGCTGGTAATCCATCGGCATCTGCTGCTTAATTGTTCTTCAGCCGATTAATTCCTACTCTGACCTCACCTTGGGGTATCTTCTTCTCTATTTGATACCAGAAGCGTTGCAAAATGCTCCTTCCATATCTTCAACACGCTATCTGTCACCAGGTTTCCATCTTCATCTCTACAGTAGGGTGAGCCTGCCACAAAGCCTTCGGTTTGGTATTTTACTCGTTGGTAAAAATTTCAGGACTTCTCGATTTGCTCACGTTCAGGTTTTTCTTGGTCTTTTTTTCTAAAAAAAAAAACATTTCTTTACTTTCCTTTTCCCCGATAATTCTCCACCACATTACATGTTACTACTGTCTGCAGGGTCGCATGTTTCTTTATGGAGACTGAATTTTCCTAGCAGAATTTTAATGTCATGGCCAGGGCAGCGGACATATGCTGTTTCTTGGCGCTCGTAAAATAAGTTTTTGGTCTGTTCATCTTTGTCTTCCGTCGGAAAATGGGCACAAATAAGACTGATGTAGAAGAACTTCGCTTTTATACGGATTACAGCAATTCGCTCATCTACTGGAGTGAATTCTCCTGTTAACCATAAATCCGCAGCCAAATTCATTTCTCGTTTCATGGCAGCTATAATACAGGGCGTAATCATTCGATTTACTTACGGCTATCCTGTTCCATCGCTTTTCATGTAAGGAAATAATATCGACTTTATACTTGTTGGGTACATCCGTCAATGCGAAAACCGCATCTGTTCTGTAAAACGTGCGCACATTCCAAGTGCAGATTCCCAGATCGTGGTCCTTTATATGTTTGCGGGGGTCGTCCACATTATGGTGGTTTGGTTTTCTTTTTCATTGCTTTTCCATAGTAAAAGGGGTTTTCCGAGTGTGGGCAACTAACCCGACGTCTCAACCAATTTTTTTAAGTTATTATTGGTGAACTCGCGGCACATATATCAGCTCTCTAATTCAACGGGTAATGAAAGTAGCTCCCCCAGGTGAGACAGCGGGGAGGTCAGTGTCAACAATTGAGATGAAAGATAAAATAGGGTATATGCCATGTTAAATCCAATCAGGGCCGTTGCATGGTATCTATCATTCCAAAGTGCGGGCTCTATTTAATGGACTTGGTTTTGAATCAAGTCACTCTCTCCAAATGAATATTTAATAACTTCTTAAATACTTTCCTCCCATATTAAAATTGGGACCTCTTAAATGTACTTCTTCATATATCTAAGGTCAATTTCAGCAGGATATGGTATACTGTCTTAAGTTAAATACTCTTTCAAAGTGTTACATCACACTTTATTTCAATCATTAATAAAGTTTAACGCTCACACACACGCACTCACACATTGCATATAACTTCAACTTACTCTATAATGCAATTAATTACTGCGTTAGTCAAGTAGCCGATGGTTGGTTGGTTGGCTGACTGCTTGGAGGCTTGTTAAAAGATGCAACGAGATAATCAACCAACCAACAAGCCATCCAAACCAAATTCGACGGCACATCATCTTTCCATTCCATTCTCACTCGACTTACCTGTTCACGATAGAGCAGACACAATATTTCCAAACAATGCAGATGGAATTGATGTTCATCGGGCGATGAGATGATGAACAGGACCAAATCCAAAATGCCCGATTGATGTAAAGCCCAAATGACCTGATCATGAACGCTGGCATCATTATCGGCCCGACACTCAGCCTCCGGATTTGCGGGCACTTGAAGCACGTTTCGTATTAAAACCAAAATACGTTCAATTAAGAGACTTTGCTCCTCGCTGCGCAGAGCCCAATCCTGCAAGAAGAAGAGGAAAAACAAAACAGTTGAGAAAAAAATGTGGGAAATGCAAACAATGAAAAATGCAAAACATACGAGTAAAACATAAAGCGAAGTGGTAAATGAAGAAAAAATGTAAAAACATTAAATTAGGATTGTAGTATGCAAAACAGAAAATAAATCCAATGGGATAACATTACAGAGAGATGGGAAGGAGATACTGGGACCCCATTGCCATGATGTGTCGCAATGGAGTGGAATGGTAGCAAGGAAGATATGAAGACAAAAGTTGAAAATTAAATTAGATTCCTGTTTTATGTTTGTGACTTTGACTAAATCGCACCATGAATGAACAGCAAAAGCGACAGCGGCAGTTTGCCGCTGCTTTGTCACTTATTTTCGCGTTTGTTTAGAATGTTAGTGATGTAAGGACGATTTAAAGTGAACCGAATACGTATTTTCGCTACTCCGCCAGATTACCTCTTAATTATTTTTGATTGAGTACACATATTAAATTTGAGTCCATTCGGTTGAAAAAAAAACTGCAACCAAAGTACTTAAATGTATAAAATATGGTACACTTTGTATTAGGCAAACGAGAAGTGCTGGGATTTTGAAGCTTGGAATGTGGCAGAGTGTGAAGAATGATTAAAATACGCTCTTTCTCATGAATGCTAACGGGCGAGAATTCGAATGTTTTCAATTTATCACGAATGATAAAGTTACAATGAATGCACAAGCATTTGCATTCTCTCGCGAATTTTCCCCTTGTACGAAAATTCACGAACGATAAAATGTCACTGCAAGCGTCGTCGATTCATTCTTTCGTGAGCATTTGTTGCTGAAGAACATTCCTTTGAAAAACTCAAAAAACAAATGTTCGAGAATTCTCGCGAGCACTGTTAAAAACAACATTCGTGAGAGAATGTCGGAAAGAATTTAAACCACCAAACGAAACGAACTAACGTTGTTGTGTGCTCTCACTCGTTTGTTATGTGTGTGCGACCATTCTTTGGCGAATGTTCGTTTGGTAAAGAATTTATCGCCATAAATTCATTCTTAAAATGAGCACAAAACGAAAAGAATGTAATTTGAATCATTCGCGAGCGAATTTTTGCGCACCCTGGGATGTGGGTCACTGATGGTTACAAATTAGAAATATGTACAAATGGTTTTTGGAAATTCAATCTAAGAGTGAGAGAGAAAGCTGGAAACCTAAAATTTGGAATAATGGTTTCTGTTGGAGTTGTAGAATTGTGATATGGAAGTTTGGACTTATGTGTACTAAATGGTACTATATTTGGTACAACTTGATTGTGTTTGAATGGATGGAGCTGGACTACAGAATTTTGGAATTAAGATTACTCTTGGAGTGTAGTATTGAGACATGGAAGTGGTTTTGAAATTTCGTAAGTATGTGTACTAAATGGTACTAAACTTGTGTGAGATCCTGAAATTTGGAATTCAAATTACTGTTAGAGTGTTAGATGAGGTAGTTTTGCAAATTCGTACTTATGATTACGAAAATTACTAAATATAGTACAACATTTGGGTAGTGATGGGAAATTTGTACGAAAATTGCTAAATGGTACAAAATACAATTACAAGTACAATTTTTGTGAGCGGATAATGGGGATATTCTGAAATTTGGAATTAAAATTACTGTTGTAGTGCAGGATTTAGATATGGAGGTACTTTTGAAAATTCGTAATTATTTGTACAAATGTAGTACCATTTGACACAATTTAGATTTGACTGAAAAATTTAGATTGAGATAGAAAACTTAATTTTGGAATTAAAATTAAAGGATTAAGGTAATTATGGATACGAAAAACACTAATAGTACTAAATACAAATAAAATTTGTTTTGTGTGCCCGTTCAATCCTAAAATTTGGAATTAAAATTACTGTTGGAGTGTAGGACTGAGACATGGAAGTAGTTTTGAAAAATTGTAATTATTTATACTAAATGGTACTAAATTTGGTACAGTTTAGATTTGAGTGAACATATAGAGATGGAAAGCCTATATTTAACGTTACTGTTAGAGTACAGAATTGAAGTTGTGTTAGACATTCGAACATTTACGTACGAAAGTACTAAATGGTAATAAGTATGGTACAATTTGGATCTATGTGGACGGATAGGACTGGGGTCCTGAAATTTATGATTGAAAATAGTGTTAAATGATAGAATTGAGGAAATTTTTGAAACTCATACAAACTTTTATGAAATGTTAAAAATGGTACTAATTTGGCATAATTTGGATGTTGGTGAACGGATGGGGCTGGAACCCTTAATTATGGACTTAAGATTATTATTATAATGGGTACCAAAAATACTAAATTTGGTGAAATTTGGAATTTAGTAGACGGATAGAACTGAAAGTTTTAGAATATGGGTACGAAAAGTACAGAATGTCTTGTACAATTTAGAATAAATAGAGGTGGATTTCTTCAATTTGGACTTACGGTTACTATTTGAAAGCAGGATTGAAATAGTTTTGGAAATTCGTACTTAAGAATACTAAAAGTACTAAATGGTAATAAACTTTTAGTACAACAAATTATACAGTATTTATATTTTCCTATTGTTTTTGCAAAATAGTCAGGCTTAATCCCAGTTTGTTGTTTAAAAAAAACAACTATTTATTAGTGGGGAATGTAGGGCATTGTCCGCCGAGGGGTAAGGCAGGGAAGACTATAGTTTCGGATCTTGCCACTGATCCTCATCAGTTCCCTTAGTTTTTTGTTAGGATATACTCCCCAGAAGCTATTAATAGCTTCTTTACAAAAAACCTTTCAAACCCAAATGTCTCCTGTGACAATTCGAAGTTCTTACGTTACAAGCGATACGACCCCAATGAGAAGTTCGTTTCGTTGGCGCCTGACTTCGTGGTCAACAAGGCATTTACAGACAACTACAAAACATTATTTTCCATATATAATATTATCTGTTTGTTTTGTACGCTCTACGTTAGTATCTATATAAGCGTCATCTGGTTTTCTGTCCATAGAAAATCGCTTCGAGGATCTTCATACTACAGAACAACCTCTTTAAGCGTATTCTCTTTACGAGTATAAAAAACCTTTTCAAAGGTTTCATGCGTCTATAAAACTTTTTTAGGGTACCCTTTGGGGTCTGTAGAAGATCCCATCGAGGATCTCTTGTTTGTAGAAACTTATTAAAGGGACTTCGGTTTATAGAAGATAAAAAAGATTCCCGTTAAGGATATTTTGTAAATAAAACTTTTTAAACATGTTTTCTACACACCGAAGAACATTTCATGGACAAAAACCTCTCAAGAGGCTATCTGTGGTCATAAGGTTCTTGAATGGATTTTTTATAGAAAACAATTTTTTAAGGCGAGGATCCTTGTTTTTGTACTTGAAATTTAAAAGCGGTCAAAATGACCTCCTTCGGCAATTTAGTGTTAAAGTAAATTTCCTTCGTTAAATAGTCTTTGCATGTTCTTATAGAAAAAACCTTCACAAGGATATTTTGCCCATTACAGATCTCACAAAGTGTTTAAAAGTATCAATAGAATGCGCTTTAAGAACAACCTTCGGCCTCCAGATCACGTCAAGTATATGCTGTCTATTGTAGACAATTTGAAACGTCTTACTTAATGGACTTTTGTCCAGAAAATGACCCTTACAAGATTCACCTTCAGGGGTTTCTTTTCTATAGTAATCCCGTTCAAGGGTAGTCTGTCTGATGAATTCTGTCTTATTTCGTCCACTGAATAAGTGGAAAGACCCTTTTAAGGATATTCTTTTAATGGGATACGCCTTCAAGGAGGATTTTTAGAAGAGCACTTCAAGGTCCTAAAATCTGCTTAGGATAGTCTACACATTTAAAGTTACTCTGGTCATATATGGCCCTCAATCTACTAAAGACCTATTCAAAGGTTATTATCTCCCGCAGAAGAACCTTCAAAGTTAGTTGGCTTCTGACAAAACTTTGGTTCCATTAGCCACAGTTTTACTAATTGGAAATACCATGTTCGGCAGTTTTGTCATCCACTTGATCTTTCCACCTAATTCGTGGCCTTCCCCTTCTGCGTGAACCATCAGCTAGTTCGCTTTTATACGCTTTTTGAGCTGGGGCATCTTCATCCATTCTCACAATGCCGATGTCCGAAAATAGCTGGTACATCTCATGGTTCATTCGATATTCAACGTCAACACAGATGGAGCCATAGATCTTTCGGAGAATTTTTCTCTCAAATACTCCAAGAGCTGCCTCAACTGCTTACGTAAGTACCCATGCTTCAGATCCATATAACAGCATGGGTAGTATAAGCGTCTTGTAGAGTGTGAGTTTGGTCCGGCGGGAGGTGGCCTTGTTTCTAAACTGCTTACTTAGACCATAGTAGCATCTGTTGGCCAACACTATCCTTCTCCGAATTACAAAACTGATGTCATTAGTTTTATTTATGGCGGTGCCAAGGTAATAAAATCGTTGACTCCCTCGAAGCTCTAGTTATCAAGTTTCACTGTTGGTCCGATTTTACTGGACGTCTTGTGCGTGGATATCATCAGTTTGGTCTTCTCGCCGTTTATTGCCACACCCGCATTTCTAAGACTCCTTCTCAATTTGTTCAAAGGTGGCTGTTACTGCTCCCAATGTTCGACCCATTGTATCGATGTCATCGGCGTAGGCGAGTAACATGTGTTGGTTGGTGTACAAAGTGTCATTTCTGTTCACCTATTTGCACCTGTTCACCTCTGGTATGACCTTTTTCAGCAGGATGTTAAAAAGGTCACAAGACAAACTGTCACCTTGTCTGAATCCTCGTTCGGTATTAAGGGGCTCCATGAGGTAATTTCCAACTTTCACTGCTGACCTTGTGCCACTCAAAATTATTCTGGTCAGCCGAATTAATTTTTCAGGAATAGCAAACGTAGACATGACTTTAAACACCTCTGGACGGATTAGTCTGTCGAATGAAACTTTATAGTCGAGGAATATGTGGAATGTTTCGATGTGTTTTTCGTGGGTGTTTTCCAGGATTTGG